AACTAGAACATAAAATAAATGTTCACTGTCTTCATAGGTTCAAGTTGCATCTGCATATCTTTGGGTGATCACTGACATGCACGTGGCTTCCGAGGCAAACAACCAATTCCAATTTGATTTAGTGGATATGTGCATTCAATTGTATTTAAATGATTCATTATGAATTTGCATTTTTATCTTCATGAATTGTTTGTTTGCTAATAGTCATTTGTGATGTTAACTTTTCATTCTGGTTAAGCTAACCTTGCAAGTGTTCTTCTTTATTTGCTTACATTTTTCAGTTGGTTCTCTCATTTTATTTATTTCTTTTTTCAATTTTTTTATCCAGTTGAATGGCTGGTATGGTTGTAATTAAAGCATTCATTCTCATTGACTAGCTATTTCTGGAACTTTACTGTTGATATTTTACTTTGCAAGGGCAGTACTAGTGCTCAATGAGGTTGACAAGCTTTCAAGAGAAGCACAGCATTCTCTTCGTAGAACAATGGAAAAATACAGTGCCTCTTGCCGTCTAATTCTTTGCTGCAACAGTTCTTCGAAGGTTACTGAAGCAATTAGGTCTCGCTGTTTGAATGTGAGAATAAATGCACCTAAGGAGGAACAGGTTGGATAAGTTTTGTTTTCTTCTTGGAAACTGATACATGTTCCAGATTAGTTACATTTGAATAGACAATGCATTTGCCAACACATAAAATAACAATTATTTGTTTATTTATTACAAGGGGATGTTATTTGACTTGGAAATTCAAACATGCATTGGTCTTTTGCCTGGATAGATTTTTTTTAACACTAACTATCTCATGAATCTCTTCCTATCACTTTTTTCTTACTTATATTTTGTGGAATTGGCCATATGAGACAATAGCACTTAAGGAGTGTTAGCCGAGATAGTCAATTTTATTATTATTCCTTCTTATATAACTAGTTTTATGAAATTCCTTTGTCCAGATTGTTAAGGTATTGGAATTTATTGGAAAGAAAGAAGGACTACAGCTTCCACCTGGATTTGCTGCTCGTATAGCAGATAAATCAAATAGGAGTTTGAGAAGAGCTATACTTTCATTTGAGACTTGCCGTGTTCAACAGTTAAGCTCCATACCATCTCTATCTGATTAGTACAGCTGTTTCTCATTTTCTTTTTGCAAGTCTGCTGGAAAAGGTTAGCATCACACGGCTTCTAGTAATGCTCTTATATTCTGTCATTGTGCTTGTAGATATCCATTTTCAAGTAATCAAGCAATTCCTCCAATGGACTGGGAGGAGTATGTTTCTGAAATATGTTCAGACATTATGAGGGAGCAGAGCCCTAAAAGGTTTGGTATTGCAAACATCATATGTCATGTAATGTCTTATAAAATGAAGATTTGATTATTGCCTTTTAAATCATTTTTCTTCATTTAAACTTTCTAACCAAACACATTCCCCATATGCTTTAGGCTGTTTCAGGTTCGAGGGAAGTTGTATGAACTGCTTATTAACTGTATTCCTCCAGAAATTATTCTGAAGGTAAGGAACCTTCAGTGTATTTTTCCACAACTTCCATTTTCTTACTTTATCCTTGGCTTGAAGTTTATTTTATTTTTTATATCTTGTCTCAGAAGCTACTTTCAGAATTATTAAAGAAATTGGATGAGGAATTAAAGCATGAAGTCTGCCATTGGGCTGCATATTATGTACGTTATAATTTCTCATTTCTTGTTTTATCTGCTTTTGTTACAATACTCCTTTCTCCCTCTGAGAAAATTGATTAGGTAGTTGCATTTGATTTGTGCCAAGTTACACTCAAATGATCTGCACGATTGATGAATAAAATTAAACACCGACTTTAATCATATTGATCTCAACTCAGTTCTTTAACTGTAAACCAAACTGATTTTGTTGACTTACTGTCTAGGTCATTTTCTTTTTACATAGATATTTTTGATTGATTAGAAACATCTATATGCGTGCAAGCACCACAATGAGAGACTTTGTGCTAATCACTACTGTTTATTGCGTCATTGATAATGAACTGGGGGGGGGGGGACATAAAGTAAAATACAAGGATATGGCTTACATTGTTGTTTGATTCAACATTATGGCAGAAATTTTTGTGGTCTCTTTGAAGGACCTCTAAAGAATTAGGCAATTGCATGCATGTAGTTGGTTTCTGGTTTTGTCTCAGTTGTCGATTCCTCATGTATGATGTGTTACAAGTGATGCCTTTTTTTCCTGGAAGAAATTCAGAAACCTTTGAAAAAGGAGTGAGATATATGAATGTATAGTAACAAGAATGTGAAAATTTTGATTATAATGATTTATTTTGGAAAATTTGATTTGAAAACTCTAGCATTTTATGAAGTTAGTAGTGAAAGGGAAGCGTTAGCTACCATTGACAATGTGAATGGCTTGAGTTGTTTCTTAGATATAACAAAATGCATCTCATGGTCATTTTTTTTCCTTTCCTGCCATTCTTTTCTGAATATTGTTCATATTCCTACAGGAACATAGGATGCGTATGGGACAGAAAGCCATATTTCACCTTGAAGGTATTTCATTTTTCTTGAAATCAATTTGATAGAATCAGTTGTCACAAGTATCAACTAATTTACATTGTTGGTTTCCATTTCTTTCCAAGTATATTGAGATTGCAGCACGAAGCTTACTCCATCCCAAAATGTTTTTGGACAGTTTCTCTGTTGAAGCAGGAGAACTCAAAAGTATTTTTAGGAAATTGCATAGATGAACACATGGCCTTCTGTACTTGTTTTTTACCTCAACTTGCTGGATTTCATAAAATATTATCACTGGCATCATCATTTTTCTTAGCATTTAGGAGTCATCTAATTGTCCACCATTTTTTTCACCATTTTCTCTTGAGATTTGTAACCTTTTCAATTGAGTTTGCTTTTACTAATTCGAAAACTATCTACTTCAGACCACGATCTTTGATATAGAAAATTGTGAGCGAGCCTGTGCTGTTGTGTTGTCCTAGCATCTTGGTTTGTGAAGTGTGAATGCTTGAATATGGATTCCATATCTATTCCCTTGGCTTGTGGAAAATATCGTTGCACACTTCATTAGATAAGCACTCTGTTATTACGATTACATAATTGCATTAGGAAATATTTCAGAGAGCTCTATGATCCTTGGCTTTTTCTAGTTTTTCTATAAAAAATTTGATTGCTTGAAATCGAATGTCAGCTCCCATGTGTAGAAACAGATGTCTTTTCATGAAGCCTATTGAGCTCAAATAGCTCAGAGACTTTATTTTATGATTTATCTTCCAGCGTTTTTGGCCAAGTTCATGAGCATCTACAAGGCTTTCCTCATAGCTACATTTGGCTGAAGAAGGTTGCAACATGTTAGCGCGCATGGTTTAAAGGCGTAGGGAGGAGGAAGAGGGAGCATCTCTTCTCCTATGGAGACGTTTTCTCGCAATGTCTTCTTGTAGCTGAGTTTGTAATCGTATTTATGATCTATGAAAAATGCAAAGATTGCTGGCACTGTTACATATGATCAATGTGATTGCAAATCTTGGCTATCGGTTCGCTCTCTTGTCACCTGCTACCATTTTTATTCTTCTTCCCAAGTTAAGAGCCTTCCAATAAATTTGGCTGGGTATCCTTTACCTCATTCATCATTGGTTTGATACTTTTCGTTCTTGAAGCGAGGTTGCATTCTTGGCGTTTGTATAAAAATGAAAAATTTGTTTGTAGAACGGGCGCGTGGGTCTCGCGGAACCCAACCCCGGTTTCTACAATTTTATCATGATAATTTTTTTGGTTAGCATTTTGATACTTCACCACAAGGAATCGTGTGCAGCTTATATGCCATTTAATTAGTTACTTAACTTGTGTTTGATCGTGAGTTAAATATTTTTATTTTTTATAAAAAAATGTTTTTTTTCAAATTATTTTTGTAGTTAAAAAAATTTAATAATTTATAAATAAATAAAAAGATCTCTTTAAAAATTAAATGTATAATAAAAGAATTAATATTATTTTAAAAAAATTCTTTAATGTAAATATAAATAAGTTTTTTTTAAAAAATAAAAATAATAATGGAAAAAAAGGGTCCATGGAAGCTTGCTTGGTGTTACTAATTTTTTTTTTATTTATACTTGTAATGAATGATATGTTGTCTTTTTTTTTATATGTAAAAATCAGGGTATGTTATTTGTTTTATTTTGACCATTCTGGTAATTGAAAAATTAAAATTTATATTTTTTTAATTTAAAAACTTTCCAACCTTTTTTTTTTTTTACTTAAAATCCTTTAGAAATTATAAAAAGCCTATTCATAATCTCAAAAAATTTAAAAAATTAAACTTAACCTAAAATCAAAAATCAACAAGAACTCATATAGGTTTTTTCATAAACTCTTAAGGTATACAAACATTTAATATGAATTCCTCTCATTTAATGGAACAATTTGATACAAATCTTTTATTTTTATTTTGATAGTTTAAATTAGTGCTAACGATAAATTTTCTTTTTTATTATCATAATTCAATAGCTTTTTTTCTTTTTTCTCTTTTAACTAGGAACTAAAAAATAATAAAAATAAATCTTTATACTAAAATGAAATTTAAACAATTTCAAGAAACTAAATTTATATAATTTATATGATTGATTAAGTTGGAGGAGCAAAATATATTTTTTCAAACCTTATGATATGCTATCCATATTTGATATATTTTTTATTTTTGTTTTTTTTAATTTCAAGCTTTCATAAAAATTTAAAGTCAATTACTCTTTAAATAAGAATAAATCACTCCAAAACAAAAAGTTTGAAAATTAAATTAATTTTTTTTATACAATAACAAAACACAATGAAAATCCCATGCATGATAGAATATGGTATAATAATAATAAATGACGATAAGAATGTCAACCAAATTTATAGGTTTCTTTTTAGAATTTTATATTATTATTATTACTACTATTAATTCATTGGCTAGGCATTTTCTCTTAAGAAAACAAGAAGAAACGCCGCCGTTTTTCTTTCCTCCTAATTGTCTTAAGACGCTAACAGCGACGGAAGCAGAAAGAGACATGTTGGTATATAAAATAAATCGCAGCAAAGCAAGTCATCCTCGAAATTGGAAAATCAACAAACCCTAATCTCCCACTCTCCTTCACAACTCTTTTTCTTAAGCAAAACTGAGCTACCGGGGATTAGGAAGGAAGGGAGATCTTCAGCATGTCGGTTACAGCAGGTGTTAGTGATACAGCGTTAGCAGTTAGGGATAAGCTTAGGGGTAAAATTGGACAGACCAAGGTTAAAAGGTATTGGCCTGGTAAAGCACCGGAGTGGGCAGATGATGCAGAAGAAGATGGAGATATTAGGATGGCTAGGGTGGCTTCCTTGGAGAAAGCTTTCCCCAGCAGGGACGATTCGGATGTTGTTTCCAGGAAAGATGATCCGAGGCTGCGTCGTCTGGCGGAGACTAGGATCGATAATCGCGATGAAATGAGGGCGGATCATAGGAGGATTCGGCAGGCTGAGATTATTTCAACGGAGGAGGAAGAGACCCGGAAGCAAGAATGGGCGGATATGGAGGAAGACGACGAGGATGCGTTGGAGGAAAGAAGGAGAAGGATTAAGGAGAAGTTGCGACAGAGGGAGCGAGAGGAGGCTGCGCTTCTTCCTGTAGAGGAGGAGGAGGAGGAGGATGAAGTGGAGGAAGAGGAAGAGGAGTCGGAGTATGAGACTGATTCTGAGGAGGAAATGACAGGGATGGCTATGGTGAAGCCTGTTTTTGTGCCCAAGTCGGAGAGGGATACTATTGCTGAGCGTGAGCGGCTTGAGGCTGAAGAACGAGCACTCGAGGATAAGGTGAGGAAGAAATTGGAGGAGAGGAAGGTGGAGACCAAGCAAATATTGGTTGAGGAGATAAAGAAAGAGGAAATGATTCAGAAGAATCTGGAGATGGAGGCAAATATTGCTGATGTGGATACCGATGATGAAATGAATGAGGCAGAGGAGTACGAGGCTTGGAAGGTCAGAGAGATTGCAAGGATTAAGAGGGATAGGGAGGACCGTGAGGCAATGGTGAAGGAAAGGGAAGAGATTGAGAGGGTGCGGAACATGACTGAGGAAGAGAGGAGAGAGTGGGAGAGGAAGAATCCGAAACCTGCTGCACCACCAAAGCAGAAGTGGAGGTTTATGCAGAAATATTACCACAAGGGTGCTTTCTTCCAGGATGAGCCCGATGACCGAGCAGCAACTGTTGGAACAGATGGCATTTTCAAACGTGATTTCTCAGCTCCGACTGGAGAAGATAACATGGATAAAACCATATTGCCCAAAGTTATGCAAGTCAAACACTTTGGTCGTAGTGGAAGAACAAAATGGACCCATCTTGTCAATGAGGATACCACTGATTGGAACAATCCGTAAGTCCATTCTAATCTTCCTTCTTATTTTGTAAAATTGACTTTATATCATATCTGCTGTTACATGAGCACTTGATGGTATCATTCATTCCCCTTTAGTTTTAGGTTTGAAGGTAGATACTTGCACTTGTTGAAATACACTAAAACCATTTTACATAAGCTAAAGGACATTGGTAGCATATATAACAAGAAAAAGTATCGGGCCTTTGCATGTTCCTGATGCTAGTCCTTGAATATTATATATGCTTGTAAACTCTGATTCTGTTTGAGTTTAGTCTCAAACTCGTAAGTGTTTTGCATTACATTCTTGTTGATGAAGAAATTGAAATCCAAATTTGAAGATGATGCTTTATACTACATTGTAGAAGATGATCGCAATCTAATTCAAAAGCGTCACCAAGTATAAGGGAACTATTTAGGCTATTAAGGTGGCTTATTGTATGAACAATGTATTCTCTACCTCTTTTTTTTTTTTTTGGCAAAGAGGCATTGACTTTTAAGTTTGTATTGATGGCCATTTTGAATTAAATTACTCATGACAGTTGTGAACAGCATGTCCTGGACATTTTTGTGCTTATATATTGTTTTGCTCGTCTCTACTTTATTGAATTGGTTGCCAAATGGATCCTAAAACAATCGTTGATATAGTGACAATACCAATCAAATTGCCAGGATGGTTCACCTTTTTTTTGGCATCAGGAGGCTATTGCACTAACAAAAGAAACAATTCGGATATGTTGTTATGTATGTCTCTGAAACAAATGCTTGCTGTGTTTTTATTTTGCAGGTGGACATACAATGATCCTTTGCGGGCAAAGTACAATGCAAAAATGGCTGGAATGAATGCTGCTATAGCTAAACCCAAAGGAAGCAAAAAGTTGAAGGATTGGGAATCCCGGTAACCTATATTTTTAATTGTTACCAAGGTCAGAGAAGAAACCCTTTTATTGAACATTCGTTAACTAGAGATGCAAATTCTACGATTGAATTGTTGAATATACAGGTATCGATTGTATTGGTAAATGGGTTCTCGCTTTTATCTGCCCTAGTAGAGGCGTATGGCTCTTTATTTTAATTGTTACCAAGGTCAGAGAAGAAACCCTTTTATTGAACATTCGTTAACTAGAGATGCAAATTCTACGATTGAATTGTTGAATATACAGGTATCGATTGTATTGGTAAATGGGTTCTCGCTTTTATCTGCCCTAGTAGAGGCGTATGGCTCTTTAATTATGGTGCTGATTGCAGGTGGCGATCTTCTATCATTTTCTCAATTGGCCTTGTTTTTTTTTTTTTATTTTTAGATTAACGTGGGTGTCCGGGCCAGCTTGCGCGCACCACGACTAATCCCACGGGCCCTGAAGTTAACGACCATGTAAGCTAATTATGGTGCTGATTGCAGGTGGCGATCTTCTATCATTTTCTCAATTTGCCCTGTTATTCATCATTGAAGCTGATCCACAAATGGCTTGTATGTACCTTCCACATGCTACTTAGTTGAGAAAGCAGCTCTTGTTTGAAACCTATCTCTGTTTCTTCTAGGATTCTCTGCTTTTATTCGGATACTTGATAGGTAGTGGTGGTAAATGGGTTGGGTTAAAATTAGTTTTTAATAGCTTCTTATAGTTCTCAAGATGTTAAAAAGATATTCCTGTGTTAAATTAATTTTTTATTTGATTAGATAGGATTTAGTTTTGTTTATTAAAAAAATTAAAATTTTAAGAGCCAAACTTCACAATAAAACAAACATGCAATCATTTTTTAAAATTAATATGTTCTCGAGGCCTATTTTAAAAAAGCATCTTTTTCACAAAGTCGCCTTTTTAGTTTTACAACTATAGATATTAATAAATAAAAACTTTTTTTTTTTTTACATATTTGTTTTTGAGTTTAAAGGAGAGAAGAGAGGATCATTGTAAAATATTGGAAGGGAAAGAGATGGTTCGCGAGATTTTATTAAAAAAAAAAGTTTTGTGACTGTTTTTTCTGATGAAAGGAGTGCTATCAAGATATTTTTAGACTTTTATATTACTAAAAAAACAGTAGATCAAACTTGAGATGTTTTTGGGGTTTGATTTTGTGTTTTCTTAAGTTATTTGAGGTTTTTTTTATCTTTTTGAAAAAATTAGTTTATTGAGATTATAAAAATGTGTTTGAGATGTTTTCATAAAAAATGGGTTAATTGGTTTTTTAGGTTTAAAGAACCACATCCTGATTTTTCAATCATTTCTGTAGTGATTTTTCAGCCATCTTGTAAGTCTATCAAAGATATTTTTGTTTCAATATTAAAAGAAAAAACTAATTTGTCTAGAACATTTTTCTAAAACTAAGCTGGGTTTTTCCTAGTTATTCCAGTTGCTTTTACTATTTAGGTTAATAGATTTTAAGGTTAATTTATTGGTTATATTATATTGCTTAAGAAACAAATATACTTTAAAAAAAATATTCAAAACAAAAATTAGCATATTAATTAGATGAAGAGGTTTTAGTTAGAAATATTTTTTTTTTTATCATCCTAATTTCTTTTGGATATATCTTCTAATTGATTTTGATTTTTATTAAATATATAAATTAAAAAAATATTAGATTATTTTTAAATTAAATATATTAATAAAAAAATAAAACTTATACTTGCAAATTAGTTTATTTTAAAATAAAATTAATAATTATTTTTATAAAAATAATTATAGCATATAATTAATTGAGTTAAATTAAAGGTTTCACAGTACAAGTACAAGATTAAATATTTTAATTTATCTTTGTTTTTGACTTTATAATTTAGTATTTAATTAGGGTTAATAATTGTTTAATATCTTGATCCATCGATCCTCAATTTATTTTATTTAACATAAATTTTGAATTTTGAATCTATAATTAATATTTTTTTTGTTATCGAAAACAATGCTTATATAATTTGTTTTTTTTCCGATGTAAAAAGATATTTCACAACGCAAGGGTGGATAAATTAGTATGAAACCTATAACATTCTTGGCATGCCGGTCCTATTATTATTAAGGAATTTCTTGTTGCACACATGGACCAATCAAATTAATGTCTTTATTCAATAAATAATTTTTATTTTCAACCATCAACGAAATTCTTAAAACATAACAAAATCCAAATATATATATATATGCGCGCGTAGCGAGGCTTTTTCTAAAGAAAAGAGACTTCTTAAAATTAAAAAAAGGAAATCTTTCTGCTTTCTACACTTATAGATGTAACATTCCGCTTATTGAAATTAATATATTTATTAAAAAAAAATATGGTACATTTTTATTTTTTCTTTAAAATAATACATAGTTTATCGAAATTTTTACTGAAATTTTAGCAAAATTTTCTGAGAGATCCCAAATTATCAACAAATTATTTGTAAACATCTTGTATTCATTGTTTATATAATATCCAATTATTCCAAGTTTCAAACTATATACTTTTAAGATAAATTCACATAATTATCAAATTAAAAAAATGAAAAAAATCTTAGGATTTAAGAGTTAATCATTAATTAAACATCGTAACTACATTCATATGTTAATCAGCACACCCATTTTAACAAATAATAACTAATTCTATTAATCGTCCTTTTGCATGGCACAAGTTTCAAACCAAAACACTGGTCCAACCATTAACCCATTCACAAGGCACCAGTTCCAAACCAAGATACTGGTCCTTTCCTTAACCCATTCACACGTACCAATTTCAAACCAATGCACTAGTTCATTCATCATTCAAATACTAAATATAAATATAAAAATTTACACTACATCTTATTAGGGACTAAGTTAAAGAAATACACAAGATTTTAAATTAAAAATCAAAGTGTCAAACACCTACCTGAAAATTGTGCTCTGCTGGGTGTCCCCGACTCCCGTCTATTTTCCACAATTTCACTTGTGTCAATAGTTACATTAATTTAGATTTCAACTATTGATCGTACATATACACATGTACATAGTATCTTTATAATTCAACATTTTGTAATTCAAAAACAATTCCAAATAGAAGTTATTAATTTACAAGTTTTAGGTGGCTCAACATAACGAATTATCTAACTGTTATTGTCTAGAAATTGAATTATTATTGTTTGACTTCTCATATTTTTAACTATATCTGGAGTTATAGAACTCCATTTCAAGCGAGATTAGCCTCATTGGAAAGCTAAGACACGAGGCTACAAGTTCTATATAGGAAGGAGAACCCAGTTCTTCCCGTAAGACAATTAAAATTACTCATCAATGAACGTTGGACTGTTACTATTTAAAAATTGAATTGTTATTGTCTGATCGCTTCTCAGATTTTTAACTATATCTAGAGTTCCAGAACTTTATTTCAAGCGACATTGGTCTTGTTGGAAAGTTAGGACACGAGGCTAGAAGTTCTATGTAGGAAGAAGAACCCAGTTCTACCCCAAAGACAGTCAAAATTAATCATCAATGAACATTGAACTATTACTGTCCAACTGTTACTGTCTAAAAATTAAATTATTATTGTCTGACCTCTTCTCAGATTTTTAAATATATCTGATGTCTCACCCTCACAGCGGAGCATGACATCGTGACGACCCTTGATTGATTTCAATTTCTTTTGTTTTGTGAATAAGAAAGTCATCACCTAGTATTATGATCAATAAAAATCCTGACTAGTCTTTTAGAGATTCTAAGGTGAAGGACTAGTTGTGTAATAGGAAGGTATTAGCACCCTTAGTATACCCTACCTAAGGTAAGTTGCTTGGTGTTTGTTTTATCTTATAATTGCTATGATGTTGATGTTCTCTTAATTAGTTTTCTTAGGATAGGCTTGCTATGATGAATAAATTTATGTTCAAAGTCTAAAAGCAAGAATCTTTGGCTAATATGGATCATACCTTTAGATATGTCTATAAAGTGTTAAGGAGAACTAGTGTAGATCTTTTGAAATTTGTGTTTGATTCAAACTAAATTTATTAAAATAGAAATCTAAGGAGATTCAATATGCTTTAAAACTTCATTTTTTCCTTAGTATTTCAAGAGTTTGTGACTCGTAAATCACAAGGAGGGACAAAAATTTAGAAATCTAAGGAAATTCAGGGTGCTTTAAAAACCTATTTTTGCCTTAGTGTTTCATACTCTCACGACTCGTAAATCGTGGAGTAAAAAATTAAAATGTCTTTAATTATAATTGAGACTTGTTTCAAGGATGTATGGTGACTTATTATTTATAGAAAATTATTTTGGATATTTACCACTTAGAGTTTTTTTATTCAAATATTAACAATGAATTATAAAAGTTATTCCCAACAATATTGTAGATATTCATCTCTTTAGGATTTCTTTATCCAAATATTACTGGTGAATAATAGATAAAATCCCTCCAAAATAAGATTTTTGTATTTTTTTGGAATATTAGACAATACTCTTTGGAGTTTTACAAACATACTGTAAAATCCAAAATGTAAAAAATAATTTTTTTATTATGTTTAAGAAATCCATACGAAAATAAATTTTCAAAACTTTAAATATTTTTTTATATAAAAAAATTCAAAACATGTTAGGGTATTGGCCGTGTGCAACGCATGAGAAAAACATTGTTTTTATATATATAAAAGTAATGTTTTCTTGTGTTATATATATATATATATATATATATATATATGTTTGTTACATTACGTCAAAAACTGAGCATTCTAAATGTGAGATTGGTATTTTTTTATAAAAAAACAAAAAAAAAAAACACGTTCAAGTGTATTAAATTTCACTTGAACAATAATAAATATAACTAAGTATGTATGCAAAAGCTAGTTCACTGGCGATCCTAGCTTTTTCAATCCTCCACTGTCTGTAAATCCCTACTTGTTCTGAATGCCAAAGATGACTTACGAGATGATGGACATAGCTTCTCCTTTCTTGCCTTTGGTATCCAAAGAAAGACTCCTTTCTCCTCTCTCTATTTCGGTCTCTTATCTCTCTTCTGGTTTTCTACACCTTCTCCTCTATTCTGCAGATTTTATTTGTAGACAATGGAGCAAAGATCGAAAGGCAGTCCTTGCTTCTTTCTTCTTTCTCTTTTTCTTTTTTTTTTCCCATC